ATGTTGTGAATAATCTAAACAACTCTCAAGAAATTGATTTGTGATTATATATCAATTTTAAATAGTAAATATCAATCACAATCAAACAATCAACTACAAAACAACACAATGATTTAATGTGGAAAAAAAATTCACAATTGGAGCATCTCAAATTGTGATAAAAAATCACGGGTCAAAACCACAAAATAATTCACTAAGAAGATGAAAAGAAATTACACATGAGTACCCTTAATTACCTAGAGAATCCACTCCCTAATTGATCAAAACCCGATGTGCCTCTTCCAATACCGTCTTCACCACGGAATTGCTTTACTTAACATTGAATCCACAACGCCAATGTCAAATCTACAACGATGAACTATTCTGGAATCCTCCAAAGCTTCAAGCCCAAGTTCCTCAGAATTCACTGAAGAACACCTCTCTCTTTATGTAAATAAAAGAACAAATTCAACCCTTGATGTTTGACACTATAGTTTGTTGATCAATCGATCACCTTTTATACATCAAAGAAACTTATATAAAAATGCCCTCCAATGTAGAACACTTTGTATTTTTCTTCTCTATGAGAATCTGGAAGGGTTAAACCCTATAAACAGCAAACGGCGCATTTCATAGAAAATAGAACCGCAAAAATTGCTCGAGCACACACTTTACCGCTCGAACGGTGTGAGTAAAGGCAGTGCAAAACATATAGGTAACCGCTTGAGCACAACTTTCATTGCTTGAGCGGTGAAACATATTTAACTTTAGTTTGCACGTAGAGATACTGGATGATCAACTTCTTTTTGGCTTCAGGGACGCTGCCCTTCGACCCAGCCTGGGCGCTGCTCAGGACCTGCCATGGGGTGTTGCCTCTCAACCCCCACGAGCCAACCGGGCGGCTCGATCCCTGTACATAGTCAACGAAGTGGCAAATAAGAAATGCTCAAGTTACAAAATGTCAGCAGAAACTCTTCTAACAGGCACGATTCAGGTTGGATTCACATCTAAACACTTACAGTCTCACTGAAACATAAAAACAAATAAAATTACAACTGAAAGGAATTTTGTCAAACGATATTGTCAATTATAAAACCTAACATGTTATTCTTTTGCTTCTAACTTGTAACTTCAATTGTAACACGTTTTGCTTGTATTACTTTGATTGCTTGCTTGTAATTTGTATATGATGGAGTCTTGAGCTTGGAGGGCTTGCCTAATGAGCTTGATAAATGCTACAAGAGGTGTGCTTATGCCCAGGAGCAGAGCTACACCTAATATACTCGTGTCAATTGACACCAGTGAAATTTCAAAAATTTGTAGAGTATATATAGGACTATAACAAAAAAGTTTTGGGTTTTTATAAATTGATCCCAGTGAAATTATATATTAATTTTGATAAATTTTTGTTTGTTCATAAGTTTTTTGAATTGAAATGTGTCAAATTTATAGATGCTTGAATGTTTTCTCACTACTTTTTTGAATTGTATGTTGTAAGCTCTTTTGTTTACTTATTTGAACAGTGTTAACGTCCTAATATTGTGTTTTTACTTATAATTAGTTTTGTCAATGTAATTGAAAATATACGAAATTTAAAAAGCTTCTTGTAAATATTAATATCATATATTTGAATATTATATATTTATTTTTATTAAATTTATTAACCATGAGTTTGCTACTTCAAATAAAAAATAAATAATAATAATAAATGAGACACTAGGCGTCCCTAGCATAACCCATTAAAAAATAAATAAAAATAAGATATTTCTACTAATATGTCATATTGCATAACTGTGCTAAACATGAATCAAACACTAGTACATGATTTATATAGAAAGGTGTTCGTGCGCCATATTTATAGGCTATGTGAGACTAAATAATTGACCCCACTTAACAAAATTTCAAACCACCCCACTCCTTGTGCCTAAAAGCTTTGCCACATGACAACCGGGCACATGTGGGGAGGGGTCCATCAAAACAGGACCAAAAATGAGTGCAATGTTTATAATGGGGGCGAAGATGGAGCATGCGGCACTCGATCCAAACTTACTTCTTCTTTTTTTTCCTATTTTTTTATTTTTAATAAATATTTTTAAAATTTTAAATAATTTTTTTTCTTTTAGATATATCTTACTTAGATGTATTTAAATAGTAAAATATTTATGAAAAAATATTTTTAAAAATTAATAAATACACAAAAATACAAAAAAGTATACTGAATTTTTGTATATATATATATTTTGTATTTTTCATATTTACACTGTGTTTGATTAAGGAATTTGGAAAGAGAAAAGGAAAAAGTGTGTAAAATTAGGTAAAATGTAGATATATTTTATTCATATTTTACCTACTCTTCCATTTCCCTTTCTAAATCCCTTTCTGAATTCCTCAATCAAACATAGCTTTAGCGAATCTTTTTTAAAAAACAATTCACAAATATTATATATTTTAAATATATTTATATTAGGTGTGTCTAAAAATTAAAACAATTGCTTAAAATATTAAAAAAATTTATTGAAAACCAAAAATAAAAAAATACGGAAATAAAAAAATAAATTTTCTAAAAAATATTTTCTGAAAACCAAAACCCAACATTTTAAACTAACTAACCAACCACATGTTATTTTGGTAAGAAATTATTCTTTGTAATATTAGAGGACTTTTGCTAGAGAATATTTTATCCATATCGTAATACTAATAAAATCTTATAACATGGGCTTTGGCCGAATCTCAGTAGGGCAATACACATCCAAATGCAAACCAATAGAACACAAGAGGGTCGATTCCAAGTAATAAACTGCACAGAAAAGAATTCATCATCCCATGTAAACCAAATATTTAAAAACTAAAATCAGCTAAATTATTCTTACAAGTTTACATATAAAAGCATTAAAACTTGAAATCAGAAAAGTATGAGGGGATAAAAATGATTTTTTTTTTTTTAACTATGTGAAATTCGGATTTATTACGGTCGGTCCCTTTTTTGGGACTTATTATCTATTAGATCCTGACTCAAAAATCTTATGCACATATAAATCCTGGCCCATTTGTTATTTTTCTTTTTTTTTTATTATTATTATTGTATCCTTGAGTGTTTTGTGTTGTCTTAAATAATCTTTTGTTCTCTCTCTTCGTCGACCATTTATGCCTACCCTCTCTCTCTCTCTCTCTCTCTCCCTCGTAGAAAACTCTGAAGAGTTTCATACCATTGTTGCCACCATCACCGAACCACCACCGTCGCCATGGTGGTTCACCCACTATAGCCACCATCATCAACCACCGCCACGTTCACCAACCACCATCGCCACCTTTGTTCACCAATTACCGTCGCCACCTTTGTTCACCAACCATCTCCACCGTTCTTCTCCGTTGCCGTCAATGTCATCACAACCACCACCACGGTCACCATCATTGTCCAACGATCACCACCACCGCCACCATCATCTTACACTCGCCACTATCATCGTCCATTTACTACTGGCATCGATCTACACTCCACCATCATGAATCCACCACCGTCGTTCACCAACCACATCAACCATCACCGATCTACACTTCACATCTCTGATCTTCACTTTATCATTGCCGATCCATCGATTCAGTTCTAGATCTAGATCGATCTAGTTGTTTCAATGGTGAAATCGACTCCAAGTGACTCCAAACAACACTATTTTTTCAGATCTTATCCCTCTTCCTCCTTCTCCTCCTCCCTTCATCTCTCTCTATTTTTAAAAATAGATTGCTGTAAAAAAAAAAATAGTAATAAATTTATCAGTTTCTGGTTGTGTATATGCATGTAGGATAAGAGTGTCATGTGAGTAAGTAGAAGCATGAATGTGAATCATAGAATGCCGTTTTTTTTTTATTTTTTTATTATTACTATACAATTCACTCAGTGATAAATTTATCACTAAATATATCTTTATTTTTTTTTTCTCAGTGATAAATTTATTAATCTCTATTGTTTTCTATATGTGTGTGAGAGGATGGTGAATTCTTGTAAATAATGGAGTGAACATGAGTAAAAGTGAGTGGATCAAATTTATTTGTAATTTTTTTAGATATCGACCAGTGGTTTTTTAATAATAAATTTATCACTAAATGTATTTCTAATAAATTTATTAGATTAGTCTATGTTATATATGTCTATGTGATTGTATTTTTGTGAGTAAATAAGTATATAAATAAATGACGGTAAGTGTGTGTAAATATAAATGAGTGATTAAGTGGTGGAGGTAGTAGCAAAAGTGATATAGTGGTGATAGATGTCATTTTTGTTGAAACAATTCAAAAAAATGTCGTCAAAAATCATTGCCAGAGGTGGTCGTCAGCACCGAAAGTGATCGCCAGTGAGTAGAGGTGGTTGCTAGTGGAGGAGGAGAGAGTCACAATAGTACTGATAATAGGAATGAAAAAAGGTGAAGAAATGGTATTTTATAGAGATATTGATAGGTGAAAAAAAAAGCAAGACTTATAACTAAATAAATCTTCTCAATAAGACTGGCTGTAAATCTCCCGTGAAATTAACCAGTTTAAAAATGGGAAAATGGGTACTAAACTAGAAGATTATTTTGATAATAAATTACCCTATGCAATATTAGAGGGGACTTCAACTTCAAAACATTTAATCTGTGTTCTTATAGCAATAAAATCTTAAAACATGGTGCTTCGGCCAAATCTACCCAATTAACAAACCCATCTCACAAGTCCAAAAGAAAACAAATGGATTTCATGAAAGCAATTAACAATCTAGAACTCCTATGAATGGAGCACAAAAAAGCAATTACATAAATAAGAATAACAGGCAACCCTTTCTTTGAGGTTGAAGAAACATGACCACCTCTCTGCCTCCTTCTCATATAGACAGCCTAAAAGAAAGTCAAAACTCTCTCCATAATTCACATGTTGCTATGCTATGCCAGCCTAGCCTTAAAAAAGGTTGTACAATAGTAAACCTGAATAATAAAACATAAAGGCCCTCTATGGGTGCAACCAAAAAAAAAAAAAAAAAAAAAATTACATAGAAAAATTGTAAAATATTCAAAATGTGTAAATCAAATTTATTTTAAACCTGATTCACACAACACCAAGTTCAAATTAAATCATACATTCAAATTATAGACAATTCTAAGATATTTTTATGAGTACATAAAATTCCTAGTAAACAAACAAAATAGGGGCAAGAAATAGGAAAAACTACTTAGCCTAGTTTTTCAATTTGATCATGGGCAATTTGGGTTTCTACCAGGACCACCATAGTAAAAGTAGTTGCCCCAATCACCATTTTTGCCAGTTTGAACATCATAGCAATTGGATTGCTCAGTGAAAGTACTTATGTCTTTAGGTGCTCTAAGATTGTTAGAGCCATCTACAATCTCAATATTCCTGAAGTAACTAGATTTACCAAAACCTTCTCCAGGGAAATGGCCACTACCCATTTGAGTGGTGGTGTGTTGCCCATCTGATGCTGAGTTCACCACCTCTCCTCCCCACTCTATCATTGATGCACTGTCAGCAAGGTATGAAAACAAGTAGGATGGCCAGTAACCCAGTACATACTGACTCCCAAATTGCATCCACCAGTTACCCTCTTTAGGGTCCTAACAAATTATAATTACCCATTCATTAAAATATTAAAATATTGAAAATAAGTCCAGTGACAATGATGTATGTGATGCATATCATACTAAACAAACATGGATAGGAAAACCAGAACATGTGGACATATGAGCATATGTCAGATATTCTCTGTATTTTTTTTGTAATCTACTATGGGCATAATAGCACATTTGTTGGTACTCTATCATTGTATTATATAATACTTCTTTGAATTTTTAAACAAGAGCAGTGTGTCAGTATGCATTATTTTACTAGATATTACTATTAAATATCTTGAAAATTTTTGAAGTGCTCAAAATGCAGTAAGATAATAATGCATTTATCTTGTCTTGTTAGATGGATGTGTGTTTCAAATCAAGAGATTTCAAGTTAACAAGATTGGAAAATTAACTATCATAAATGAAGATAAATTATAGAAGAAGATAAATTGAGAAAAAATAAATGTGTTTTAATAGCATCTTTGCAGCAAGGAAAAAATTCTTACTATTATTTCAAATAATTACTTATTATAGTAATTTTAAATTCATCATAATAAAACTGTTTAATTCATTATTGAAATTCATAAATAAATAATCAATTTAATTTAAATTTTTCATTAAATAATTAATGTCAAATTTATACATTTCTAATTCTCACCTAGGTACCTAGAGAAACGTGGGTCATCGTAGTGAAAATGCTCTGACAGCCCCCATTTTGAACACTTCTCTACCTTGGATCTACTTCTTATTTGGTAAGGCATTTGAAAGTGGTTCTACAATTTGAAAAACAGTGAAGATCGACACAATGCCAAAGAATACTTTTAAGGCTTGTTTTGGGGAAAAAAAAAAAAAAAGTTTTGGTTTGAGCTGTGTTTTCAATTTTATTTATGGATGGATTCATGGAAAAGTTTAGTTGTGTTTTTATTTTCTTTATTTTCATTTTTAATGTTTCCACAAACAACACTACGAAATTTTCGGAAGCACTCATAGGTTTTTTATTTTTTATTTTTTATTTTATGTATTAGTTTAATTTTTTTGCAAAAATAGTTTACAAAAATTTCAAAGTAACTTTTGGTGTTTTCAAGATTTTTTTTTCAAAAATCATTTTTGAGAACAATTTTCCAAAGGCTTTTGCAATCCGAAATCAGACTGAAGCATGCTACTTGGCTTGATAGGCTTGTTAGGCATGTTGTTAGGCTTGATGATTCAAACCGTTGAATGTTTAGAGCTCGTCTATTACATAATTCTTACAATTATCACATTGATCGGATATCGATTGCTACTTAATCAGATCAAATTTGTGTCAACGGTAATTATAGTTTTAAAAATAAATTGTTAATACAAATATGATTTGATTAAGTGACTATTGATATCCAATCAATATGAGTTTTTGCAATAATGAAATACTTGACGAGTCCTAAACATTAAGGGGTGGTTTGGAATGATCTAAATAAGTGTACTTTTTGAGTTTTTATAAAATATGAGTTGGGTATGGATTGGGTTTGAAGTGATGTGTTAGAGAGGTGATGCGATTTAAATAAGATGATGCGACTTAAATAGGATAGTAACTTTCTGTCCTTTTAATTTTTTTAAATCATGCCAGACAAGATCTAAACAATTAGAAACATTAATGTGGGCCTCGTGGAAAGCCTAATGAAACGCTCTAGTTGAGAAACCCAATTGGAAAGAAGCACTGTCCTTTTCCACACAAGCTTGGAAATTAAAATAGAAAATAAGAAATAGAAATGCAACCTAACAGAATTAAAAAAATAAATAAATCATGTGTAAATGTATTGTTGTTTGCCTACTATTTCTTTTGTTTTGTTACCTTCCAGACAAGTATGCTGATATCATACTGGTTAGCACCATAAGCAGAAAGTGGGTAGATGGTGGCCCCCATTGCAATTTCATTGTTTATTTGAATAAATCCTGTGCATAACAGATTGTAGCACCCCGTGGCTTGATATGCATCACTCTGTCATGTCATTTACCCTTTTCATTTCAGACCCACATTACCTTTACAATATGGTTAGAAGGACATTAAAATGAATTTGTTCACACTTTTTAAAAGTGTATGAATAATATTCAAATTGTAATTGGTTTAAAATAGTGAATTTGATATGTAAAAAGTGTACATTCAAAGTTTTGAATTTTACTATTTTAAACCAATCACAATTTTTGTATTACTTGCACACTTCGGACTATTTTGGAAAGATGATTATAAGCTACTTTTTGTAAGAGAGGGAAGTGGGTTATAATCTGAAAAGTGAATTATAACCCACTTCCCAAAAAAAGACCCCTTCAAAGCCTGTGAGCAAACTGGAGTATATACAGACCAAAAAGGCAATTGAAACAACAGCACTTACAGTCCAGTACGTAAAAAGTCTAGTGTTGTGATCTCCATACAAGTCTGGGCTCACCTGTTTTCACTCCCACCACAGTAGCAAAATGAAATGAATCAAAATGCAACACAAATGAAACACAAATGCAAACATAATTAATTACAACTACATTTTGTTTACCAGAGCAATAATGATGATATACAGACAAGTTGTGTACAGAATGGTGGTTGTTTTTTATCTTTTCATTTCAAACCAAAATGTCTCGCTTATAATTTTGAACAAAAAACTTTTAATTACAAAAATGTTATCAACCATATTTTACATGAGATTAAAATTTTACTATTAAAATTAGAATTTACCTGCCAACCAGCTTCAATGCTATTGAGATCTGAAGCAAAAGAGCCTCCCAATATCCAGAGTTGTGACAAGCTGAATTCATTAGGTTGATCAATTCTGGGTTCCCAAACATTCATAGTTCCCTTTGCTCCATAATACTTATCTCCTTCAACATAAGCTATTGCATGCTAAAAAAAACTCCAAAATAAAATAAAAAAATAAAATTTAAAAATTTATTAGGAGGAAGAGAAAAATTAACAAATCAAGAAAGATGGAAACAAAAGATGCATTTTTTTTTTCTCATTTTTCTCATTTTCTTTTATGCTGTGTTTGTTACTATTAAAATTAGAATTTACCTGCCAACCAGCTTCAATGCTATTGAGATCTGAAGCAAAAGAGCCTCCCAATATCCAGAGTTGTGACAAGCTGAATTCATTAGGTTGATCAATTCTGGGTTCCCAAACATTCATAGTTCCCTTTGCTCCATAATACTTATCTCCTTCAACATAAGCTATTGCATGCTAAAAAAAACTCCAAAATAAAATAAATATATAAAATTTAAAAATTTATTAGGAGGAAGAGAAAAATTAACAAATCAAGAAAGATGGAAACAAAAGATGCATTTTTTTTTTTCTCATTTTTCTCATTTTCTTTTATGCTGTGTTTGGTTGGAAGATTTGAGAAGGGATTTGGAAAGGAAAATGGAAAAAGTAAGTGAAATATGAATAAAATATACTTTCATTTCACCTAGTTTCACGTACTTTTTCTCTTTTCCTTTCCAAATCCCTCCCCAAATCCCCCAACCAAACAAGCGTCAGGGAATATCAAATAAATATGAAAGATAAACATAATAATAATAATGTGAGAATTGTGTTTAAGTGAGAAGAGAACAAATGAAAATTATTACAAAAATATGGAGGTACAAAGTGAATTTTGTGTTGTGGTGCAAGTCAAGTCACCTTTTTTAATTACCCAAAACAAAGCCACGACACAAAATCTACTTGCATCTTCATATTTTTGTAATCATTTTCACTTAATCCAATTGAAATGCATTTCTCCTTTAAATAATTGGAAATAATTGGAGTACAACTGGATAAAAGTGAGTCATTTTTGCATAGTACTCATTGTTCAAATGAAATGGAAAATAAATAAAATAATTACAAATTAATGAACTACAAGTAAATGCAAGTGAGAACTGCATCATTTTACATAAATTATCACTTGCGCTCAATGAATTTGTAATTATTTTTCAATCCTAGTTTACATGATATTCACCTTTCTTTGTCTTTTTGTGTTATAAATGAACTAAACAACTACAAATTTACAATTACCTACTTATATAGGTAAATTTATTATTGGCACAGAATGTGTATAGTGGTGGGTGGGGGCTGCACCTGGTGACCACTCTGACTGATGATGTCAGGATTAGCAGAGGTTGCTGCGGCTGCTGCTGCTGGTTTTGGGATGGTTTTGTGCTTCTTCTTTCCATAACTTGTAATAGAGCTTGCTCTCAGAAGATCCTCTCTTCTTGTTCTCCTTATTGGAATTGTTCCTTCTGGGCATCTTCCACTAGTATGCCACAGCTGACTTATTACTGTTGATTTTCCTCCATTGGACTTCACCTTCACATTGGACACCTTTTTCTCAGCAATTTGCCCTAGTGGGTGATAATTTGGCCTCTTCTGCAAACCAAAAACAAAAACACACCCATTAGACCGGTCCTATTAACAGTGAATCAGCTTTTAAATTGAGACTGAAATTTACAATTAAAAAAAAGAAAAGAAAAAAGAAAAGAAAAGAGAGAGGTGACCTGAATAGTGTGGTTCTTGAAGAGAGGATGATCAAAAGCAGGTTGGTGGGAGATATGAACACAATCAATTATATCTCCATCTGGGCTCTGTTTTTTTAACAAAACAAAAATCAATCCAAATTCAATGCATGCATAAATATATATAGATAAAGATATACAGAGAGAAAGTGAAAAGGGTATGAGGGGATTGAAGAAGGGGACCTTGATGGACTTGAGGGGAGGCTTGTTTAAGCGCTTTAATTGCTTGGAAACCTCAAGGTTCTGAGTAGAAATGCTCAATCCATCACCATGACAGAGTGGAAGCAATACCATAACCGTAACCATAACCATAACCAATGATAAGCACAGTCCCATCATCTCCATCTTGTTCCTCCTCTTCCCGCTGCTAAAGTGCGCCGCCTCTATTGGTGGTCTGGTTGACTGTTGAAGAACCCTCAAAGAGAGTGTTGTTTTCCAGCCATCATACCCTCTTAAAGGAGACGACTCTTATTGCGCACCCACTTGACTTCCACTATAAAAATTTTAAAAAACAAAAATATATAAATTGGAATATGGACGATATGAAAACTGCCGACGCTCTGTTTTTTTGTTTTGGGAGTGTTTGTTGGGAGGGTTTAGTTAAAATAATTTGTTAAAAAATAAAATAAGTTAAAATATTACATTTAATTTATAATTATTTTATTTTTTAAAAAATAATTATTAAATTAATTAAAAAAATCAGTCAACTTTCCAAATATAATTATTTTAACTAAGGGTTTGTTTGGAAAGTGCCAGATTAATATATTTTTTGACTTTTAATAAAAAAACGTGAAATATGAATTGGGTTTAAAATGATGTGGTAGAGAAGTGATGTGATTTAAATAAGATGATTGTGACATAAATAAAATAATATGCCAAAATAATATGTATTATTTTGACACATGCCAAATAACCACTAAGTTAAAATATTCAAAATATCAAATAGTTAACTGGAATAGCCCACAAAGCCTTTACCTCCCTTATAAAGGCTAAAATGGGAATTTTGTTGGGAAAAATAGAGTCAATGGAAAGGGCAATTCTCCAATAAATGTGTACTATATCCATGTTGAAAAATGTTTTATATCAAGAAAAATAGAATAAAATAAAATAAAATTCTACATTTAAAGACTAAAGCAGTGTTAGGGCATCCACATTATTTTTTTTATTTTTTTTATTTTTTTTTTTAACTTGGAAGCAAGAAATTGCAACAAATAATTTACCATAGACTTCTAAATTAAAATTTTTTAATCTCCAACAAACAGCCCATTCTACTCCAACAGCATTGCACAACAATGGCTGAATTAATTTTGTGCTACAGTAACTTATCACAAGAAGCAAACTACTATGTTAATCAAAGTGCGCATAAATTGATTTGGATATCCGGTTATCAAAAAAAACAAAAAAAAACAGAAGTGAACTACTGTGCACTAGAGCTATATATTTGACAATTTATTCTTCTTTATTGTTCTTTAAACTTGCACTCAAAGCTTTTATTTTGAAACCTTTATTGTTAAAAAATAATGATATATAAATAAAAAATGTATATCAACTTTTTATACAAAATATTATGGCTCAATTGAATTTTTTGTTTTAAAATAAAACATTCATTATAATTTTTCTTAAAAAAAATAAAATATTATCACATTATTTTTATAATAGTTTATGTAGAAAATATATGTAAATATAAAAATTTTGTTATCTTAATATGACCATTTAAAAAAGGAAAATTTGGCTATAAACCCCATTTACCTCCCTTTCATTGTTAAAAGGACTAAGAAGAAAATTGTATTTTTTAAACTCCCTCATAATTATAAAGTCTTGCATAAAGGACAAAATTTATTATTTAAATATTTTATTAGACTATTATACCCTCAACTAAATTTTCCCACCTTCTCCACCCACTCTCTGCCCACCTTCTCTGTCTCTCTCCTCCCTCTCTCCCTTCTCTAACTCCTTCAAGCTTCAGATCTGGAAGCTCAGCTACCGCCTCTAGAACTCCTGCGTCGACCTTGCCAACGCCGCCAGCGTCTGATCCTCTTCTGCCGCTCCCTCTGGCGAACACGCCAAGCTCCGCTACATCTCTACTGATTTGCTCTTCCTATGTATATGTGTATGTATGTATTTATATATGTGTGTGTATGCATGTATGTATATATGACTCATATATACATGTGTATATGCATATATATCGGTAAGTGAGTGTATGTATGTATATTACGCGATATTTTTTTTAAACATGGATCTGAGTTTTGAATATATATGTGTATATATATTTGTGTGTATGAGTGTTGTTCAACACATGTATTCTTTGAAATCAAAAGATAGAGAGGTATTTGGATGTGTTTTCTGAAATGGCCACCTCAATTAAATTATGATTATGTTGATATTTAGATGTTTTTGTTTAGTTTTTTATCTGTGTGTTTTGTGGTTATATATCATTGTAATATAGATTTGTGTTTTTACTAGTTTTTGAATTGATCTGTTCATACTCAGCTTGTTCAATGAATGATCGATCTATTAAAATGGATGATCTATTCAATTTCTCTCTCTTTCTCTCTCTCTCTCTGATAAGAGTCTCTCTAATAAGAATTTCACACATAAATTTTACTAATCAGAGTAAAATTTACTCTGAATCAGAGTAAAATTTTACTCTAGTTAAAAAATGTTGATTTGCTTAAAAATATAAAATTTTACTCTGAATCAGAATAAAGTTTACTATGATTCAAAGTAAAACTTTACTCTGAATTTTTACTTTGGTTAAAAAAACATGTTGATTTTCTCAGCAACCAAACTATATTTGGTTTTCTTGTTATGTTTCTATGATTTTCTCAGCAACCAAACACACAAGGTTATTAATACATGACACTTAGTGTGATTCAAAGTGGATACTCTCCTTAGATCATAGTAAAATTGTACTTTTAGAGTAAAATTTTACTCTAAATCAGAGTAAAGTTTACTATGATTCAAAGTAAAATTTTACTCTGGTTCAAACCATGTTGATTTGCTTAACGATATAAAATTTTACTTTGAATCATAGTAAATTTTACTCTGATTCAGAGTAAAATTGTACTCTTAAAAACATGTTGATTTGCGTAACAATATAAAATTTTATTTTGAATCATAGTAAACTTTACTCTGATTCAAAGTAAAACTTTACTCTAAAATACACTGTGAAGATGGCTTAATAGAAGAGCTAATAGATATGAGGGTAATATAGTAAAAGAAACAAGTTTTAAAATATTAGTGGGTTTTGAAAGTACTTATATAATTCTTATCCTTTTGAAAGACAAATTAAACAGCGAGAGGTCTATTACCAAATCCCCCTTTAAAAAATATGATCGTGCTAATAAAAAAATATGACTACTAGAAAATATGGTGGTTGAAGAGATATGGTTGCTATAAAAATAAATAAATAAATAAATATGACCAGTAGAAAAATAAAATAAAATAATAGTTAAAAAAATATGACCATTATAATTAATTTATAATTATTACAAAAATATTGTAGTATTTGAAAAAAAAAATATAAAAGAAAAGAAATATAGTTAAAATAGAGAGTTTTGTTAGAACATATGCTGAAAAAGTAATTAGCTAAAATAATAATGTATAATTTTGAATATCTATTTTGACTATCATTGGTGGATTTGGGTCAAAACCTATTTTGTCCATAACTCCACTCCTTATAAAACTTGGGATACTCCTTAGGGCCCATCCCAAGTATGGCAGCCACTCTTTTTTTCAATATGGGACAAGTCGTTTAATGAGCAAACCCATTTTGTCTCTTCAACTTTTATTTTCACGAATCCGAAAATGACGTCAATTTTACATTCACCCAGAAAATGTTTTTGACGAACCGTCTTCGAGGCATGATTCAACACGTGGCAAAGAATAACGTTACCACTTGGACCCACCTCAAAAGGTGTATGGGTCCCACTTCAATTTGGGCTCAAAGTTGCCCAAAAATAAGCCAAATAATTCAAACTTTCCAACAATCCCTTGCATGAATGGAGTTGACGGAAACAGACATACAACAAAATGCAAAAAATATGAGATAATACATTAAGGAGATACCCTGCTTTAGGATAGATAACTTTTGGCTTTGAACATTCCCTAGTAAAAACTTATCAGACTTACTAGCTGCCCAGTCGACGAGATGCCTTGAATTGTTCAACTATTAGTGTAAGCCAAGACAATAGATTACACACAGAATATTACTAGACACAGTCTTGTTCTACAATTGTGTTCATTTTGGCCTGAACAATGCCTGGTTCAGTGAGTGCTTTAGACAATTTAGTCTTGTTAATTCTCATATAACCAGTCTAGTTCATACTCACATATATGATTTTTATTAAGAGTGTAATAACCCGACCATTTCATATGTTTAAATATATGTGTGTTTATGTGGTTAATATGAAATTCCATGTGTTAGTGTGTGAATTGCATGTTTATCAATTTCTATCTGTCGGTTAAAAAAAATCTATTAAAATTGCGATCTTTAGACTGAAAATTAAAAGCCTTAGAGGCGTGATAACCGGAAATTGACTTTACAGTTACGATTAGCATGATTTTTAGGACATAATATGAAGTTTTGTAAAAATTTGATTCATAATGTTTTAATTGGCTTTATTTGGTTAATTTCTTAATTAATGTAACGCCTCGAAATAATTAAATATGAACTACCCACATTAATGAACATTCACTAAACAATAACAATAATCCTTCCATCTTCACATATTTAATAAATGAGTTTAATACAAAAGTTCCACATGCGGTATACATTCAACGAAACAAAAGGACACATGAATCTATAGCATGTGAAACATCTAGTCTCAAAATAATAAAATGCCCTTAAGGGCTTACATCTTCCAAGGCAACAGCCTGGTTACACAAAATAGTCTCTCGGACCTATACACACTTAGCCCTTGGCTTTACAAAATTCACAACAAAAATAAGAGAGCTATTTACTTTTCACAAAATATCCACGCCCTCAGTTCGGCGGGATCACTACATCTTTACCTGCACCAAATCCCATGGGGGTGAGCATAAAGCCTAGTAGAGAATTCTCACAAAGTATATACAGTTATGTAACTCTAATTAAAATGCTAATGTCAATGCCATGCCATGCACCTTTTAAAAAAAATCCATTTCATGCTCCTTTTTAAGGATTATCATCTTTCAATAAAAATTTGCAATCTCAATACATTCAAAACTTTCAATCTTTAATCAATAGGGGTGGAAAATACGACACTGGTAATCCCTAGACTGGTGTCTGCAAGTAAACTTTACAAGAACTACCAAATTGTCATTTTTACCGGTATTAACCGAAAGGCTCGACACCTATCTACGCGGTTTTCTGGTCTTTCACCATGGACACTCAGGCCAACTTATCAAGATTAACTGCACTCCCTATCCGGACTTACCACGTATTTACCCCATACCACATTTCCATAGTTCTTATTACAACATCATTTTCTTTCATGAAATAAATATCATCGATC